TTTCTATCAGTCAACTGCATATGATATGTACATCATTGAATCTGCAGATTGAATCTTTGAAATCAATCAAGTCTGAGAATAAGATTATATTTCATGTTCTGCAGCTCTCATGCTTAAATATAGCAAGATCATTCTCTGAAGTGCAAGAGAACTCTTACTCTTACAGATGATATCAAATATCAGTTATCAGATAATCTTATATATTGAGAATTCTTCACTCAGCAGACTTCTTTCAATCTTCAAATTATATAATTATTAATATATTATGTAGAAGCTTCTGTATCTGCTAACACTTTTACAGCTATCTCTCAATTCTAACTCAAGTGCTCTCTATACATTAACATTTCAGGTCTCAAGACATTGAGATGAGTGTTCACTTCATCATTCTCACTTATATCTTATTTAAAAGCCTGCTTCTTCTTTGCATTTGCAGAATTCAGAGAGTCATCTAATACAGACATCTCTTTTACTTTGAAGACTTTTTATAGAATATTAGTGAGTATCTTTAAGCTCACTAATTCTGCTAGTTTTTTAACTCTCTTACTTCTCTTAACTGTGCATGCTGAGTGTAATCTTTTATACTATGATTTTAGTATCTGCAGTTGAAGCAAGCTCAATACTTATAATATCAAGATTTTCACTCAGAGAATCTCTTTTTCAGAGAATTCAGTACTTTAGTAATAATATTCAGATCTAGATTCATTACATCTGAGTGTGTAACTTGTGTTATAGAAGTCTGATTATCTGTCCTCTGCTGAGATATACTCAATTGCAGTATTTTCTGTTATAATTGACTTACTTATTTCTGTACAATGAGAATATTATATGCTTTCTTCACTATATCTGACTGTGAGATTAAGTATTTTCATTTCACTCTCAACTCAGGTATAAGATTATGAATGAAGATCTATAAATAGAAAGATATTGAAAGCTCTTTATTCAATATGAGATAGTGTAAACTGAAGTGTATGAAGTACAATATAAGATTACTCACTTATCTACACTTAATAAAGTGTTTATAATACTTATCTTATACATTCACTTTCTTAAAGTTATGCAAGATTCATTTGAAAAACTCATTTTATATTTATAAAAATGAATATCACTTCAGATCTGTGAGATTCATCTTTTTATCAGTTATTTATAATAACTTCACTTTTCTGTGTAGAAACATAGCAGATCTTAAGACTTATTAAAATTCTATTAATTATCTGTCTGTGAGTTCATATTCAATCTGATAATATAATTATATCTGACTTAGTCAGCTGATTGCAGTATTATTTTTTCAGTTATTATTAAAGCTTAATAACTTCAGCAGATCTCTTAGCTTAATATATCTTATACTTAAATTCTCATTCTGTATAGTAATCTCTGATAATATATACACTTCTGAAGAGATTATAAATAATTATAATAAGATCTTCAGATTTAGTATAGTTATTTATCTGTATAAATATTCAATCTTCTGCTACAGATCTAAGATCTGATTTTCTCTATTCTTATTAATAGTGATAATTGTGTCAGTGAAGCTCTTCATAGTGAATGCTTAATCTGCAGTGAATGTTAATTATTGTTTAACTTCTGTCTCAGCCTGCTACTGTGTATACAAGATCTCAATCTTATTTAGAATTCTTATATATATACAGAGCTTCAATTTCAGTTCAGCAGTCTCAGTTACTTTTCTTACTACTTTGAGTAAACTCTCTGAGAGATTCTGTATATCTTCTGGTTCAGATAGCAGAGAAGAGTGTTGTTTGTATTAACTAGAAAAGATATTTATTTCAGTGATTTCTTATTAATTATATAATATCTATTATTATATCACTGTATTATTATATCACTATATTATTCTGTTATTATTATACAACTTCAGTGATGATCACTTTCTCTCTTTTATCTCTTTAAGTGAAGAGTAGTCTTTTTTAAATCTGATTTATTACTCTTATTTCTTTTCTCACATCTTATCTGTTCACATATGTTATATTTATCTGAGTGTGAAGTTTTTTCTCAACAAGTGAAGCAGTATCAATCAAATGCTTTTTCACTCACTGTCTTTCATATGCTATCTTTTGAGACATTCTAGAACCACACTAACATGATAACTATAAATTACTTCATAGATGAAATTATTATATTCTGAAGAAGTCTGCACTTCTCACCAGTTTTTAGACATGCTATCAGATATGATTCAAAGATTGCTTAAGTCAGTGTACAATTACAGATGTATACTGACTTCTTATATATTATAATATTATATACTAATTTAATTAGCAGCCGCTATGGCCTCTTTACACTCATACGCGTATGCTAGTAGTTCGGAAGCGGCCGCGTTATTATCCGACAGTCATACGTTCTTCCGAATCACAAAGACTAGATTTTTATTTAAACAGTAAATCTAAAATCTTTAATATTTAAAATAATGTGATTTGAGATTAATGTAATAAATATAAATTATAATTAAAAGTAATACTTTTAAATAATATAATAACTATAAAGTTTAATTCTGATTTCAGACATAGCTATATATAGACTGACTGCTGAGACTATAAATTTCACATTTAATTTCATTTAATCTAATCTCATACATTTCTTGATGTAAATCTCACTGAGACTGACTATTAAAAAAACATGTAAAGTAACTATATATAATATATCAGATCTTAAAATGAAATTATGACTTGAAAAAAATAAGAAAGTGATCTTATTTAATCTCATTTAATTTCATTCTTAGTATAAAGTTACTATTTTTAGACATTTTAAGGTTTTTTTTAGACTATTTTTAATTTTTTAAAAAGTAATGCTTTTTGATAACACTTAAATGAGATTTAAAGTCATTTAAAGTAATAAAAATAATTTAAATTGAGAAGTGAAAATCATAGTCTTATTTGAAAAATGTGATAAGAGTAGACAGTAAGTCTCACTGAGACAGTATAAGACTACTATTTAATGTTAAAACTGTGTAATAAGAGCAGTTAAATTGATAATAAAACTATTAAAAAATCTGATTCTGATTTCAGATATAATCACATAATTAGTCTAGTTACATAGTCAGTTTAAGTCTCACTGAGACAGTATAAGACTACTATTTAATATTAAAATCATGTAATAAGATCAGTTAAATTAGTAATAAAATTATTAAATATTCTGATTCTGATCTCAGATACAGTTATACAGTCAGTCTATCAGATTTTCTATCTTTTTTATTAATATTTTACTTACTATCTAAGCTAGAGCTGTTATATCTGCTATTTCACTGCTTTTTTAGTTATGAAGAATGAAAAATTTAATTGATTAATAGGTTGAGTGAATGGATGAGTGAGTGGTTGAAAGGTTGAAAGTCAATTATCAACTGATTATTACTGTATTGTGCTGCTTTGTGCAAGGTCAGGGTCATAATTATGTAATGAGGTCAAGTGGCGCACTTAGCGAGGTCAAGTTTTCTGTATACACGGAGTCAGTATTATTGCAGAGAAAACAATTGCTGATATCGCAGGAGAAAAGGGGCTCAAAGATTTCCATACCATGCCAGGATGCTAGGCCCAATATGGAAGCTAGCCCTAAGGAGGGCTCCAGGACTGAGCCATTTAAAAATGAAACACGAAAGTATCCGACACGACAAGGGGCCTTTTATATTATTCATTTAGCACGATCTCACGACAATATCCTCTCCCTTTGTACTTCTGTTCTTTCGGGAAGGTAATGTTAGAATGGGAGATCTTTTGAAATTTGAAGTAATAAGCGTCCCATATCAGTTATGCTGTTGGGGATGAGACACAATAACACCTCAATTTTGTAAATTGCCAGGGATAAATATATCGATCTATATTGCACCGGGTGATGCTAGCTCAAATCTCCACCAAATGTCCTTTCATTTTTGTATGTGTGACGATCGATATCATATATTCATCTTGGCAGAGTCAAAATCATCATGACAATGTTCTCCTCTCTCTTTCGAACACCTCGAACTGTATGTTGTCACTCGAGTCTCTCAATTATTATTACTGTTTTTAAGAAATACAGAAACTCGCCGGGGCTATCATGAGGTAGATGAAGATGAACATCCAAAACCGAGAAAACTTGAAAAATCACATATTCGAAAGACTAACGAAATGTGACAATAGTGGATATTGTATGGTACGTATGTATGCATGTATGGAAGGAGTGCAAGTAGGTTTGGAGGCTAGGGAGATAAATGTAGTGCGAAGAATGAGTTTACAGGTAAGGGGGGGAGAGAGAAGAGAGAAGAAGGAAACATCATAGGGTAAAAAGACAGTCGTGCAGTCTTTGTACTGATTGGGGGAGTGGGACGTTGTAGGGATATCTTTTTGAACATCAAGACGTAGATTAAGTAGCAAAACAAAAACAAGGGGAAAAAAAGGGAGGAAAGGGCGCGGAAAATCAACACACATGGTAGAAGAAATGGTTATAAGTATGCCATGTTCAAGACATAATGAAGAGAAGGAAAATATTATAGCAGCAACAAAGGAAAAGGAGGGAGATCAAGGGAAATAAGGGGACAAAAATAAATGCCGAAGTAGGCACTTGATATAACAGAGCTTGGTATCCAGGATTGGTTAAAAAAGGAAAAATTGCAAGATGACTCGAAATTGGCTCGCAGAATATAACAAGGGGCAAAGATATGACGACTGAATGACAAAAGGATATAAAAGGAGGGCAAACCAAGAGGAGGTATGTAATGGCGATAAAAAAAAAGGAGCGGCGTCAAGTGGGAAAAACGAGGACGGCGGAAAAACGACGTGACAAACGACAACCAAACATTGAAAGGGATGAGAGTATGAAAACCATGTAGCTTTTCCAAGACAATGAGTATGGTGCTTTTCGTGATTTCCGTACGTCCAATCCCTATCAATTCGAAGGTGTATCACATCAGAGCGCGAGATTCCTCTTTTGATTCCAACTTTTGTTCCGGGTTTCACCCCCTTGTTTCACTCCACCCCTTTCTTTAATTATGATTAAATTTTGGGAGGTTAAGTTGTTTCTTAGTTGTAGCCACCACTTACAACGGGGACGGGCCAGTCGTCCTCGGTTATGCTGCTCCAGAATATCCATACTGCCCCAACAGCAAGTTCTGTGAAGAGGGTCGCGAAGAGAGATCCGTTTATCTTCCCTCTAGATGCTGAACATAGGTGAGTGCTGATGACGAATTGGAAAATCTGTCCGATGGTGAAAAGAAGGCCGGCTGCGCTGAGGTATACTAAATATATCAAAGGACAAGAGTGGTCAGCAATGGGGGAGACAGAGGAATCGGCTCAGAGTGTCACAGAGACAATTGGGTAGCAAAAAAAGGGGCCCAACATACACAGAGGCCTTAACTCCCCAAGGATACGTAAGACCAAGACCGCTTCCAACGCGAAGAAGGCGACCAAGCAAACGAGTGGAAATAGCAGATATAAGACGTAGAGACCGATATTTCGATTATCTCCGTTCAAGCTCGGGTCGAAATGGCCCGTCCATCGGAAGCCAGTGTCCAACGCGATATAACCGGTCCCTATGAACAGGATGGCCCCGGAAGCAATGAGAAGGCCGACTGAGACTGGGGTGCCGTCGTCGAGGAGCTGGAACCCGACGATCGCATTAAGAAGTAATATCCAGGCCGTCGCGGCAATGGCAGCTAGGTGTACGACCGTGAATCCCTGAAGCACAACAGGAGCCGTTAGTTTTTATCGTTGTTTGATTCCGGGGTCCCAAAAGGGATGCAGTTTTCAGACATACTTTTCTGACATTATCAGCGAGGGGAATCCCACCAATCGTGAAGATCTCGCAAAGCTGAATTATCATGTATCCAACTAAGAATATTTGAATCTCCCTAAGAAAGTGCCACCACGGGTTTGGTTAGCCTCTATCTTATTTAACTTCACACATTTTCAATTGAATTTTTATTTAATCGCATCGCATCGCGTCGCATCGCCAAGGAGAGTTTGTATAAACACACCTTCTTCCCACCGCAGCTCGCTTCAACTCCGATCTCCATATTAAGAACCCACTGAGGAAAATTGCTGTGACAGCAAAAAGAATGGATCCTGCGCAGTTCTATCGTCAGATCCTACTTCAGGTGGATATATAGGTTGTGGTTGCGGTGTTTAGTTCAAGTCGTACCTAAGTTCGCCAGGTTCCTTTCACCGCTCAGATTGATTCCCGTAAGGGCGCATCCTCCGAACTTCTCATTCGGGGGTTGGTTATCTGCGACGAAAAGCTATGCGCAACGGTAATTGTGTTATTAAGCATTCCTTGCTAAGTTGGGCCGGCGTTATCTTGATGATGGCCGGGGCATTGGAGGTTCTGGCGCAAGAAGTGATACATACATTACACACTGGCAGAGTCGAGTGTTGACAAAAGTCCTGCGACACCAAAAAACATCAGTCGTCAGTAAATCGAAGTAAATATATAGACACAAGCGTAAACGAAAAAAATGAAAAAAATGAAAAAAATGAAAAAAAAAGTAGAAGAAGAAGAAGAAGAAGGGATTTTGTACGTGAAATTTGCCAAACTGAGCCGATCCCATCGTGGATTGGTGGAGCGCGTCCCCCGTTGTTGTCACCAGAAGGGGAGGGAAGAAGTCGCCGTTTCGGTGTTAAGGCCTGTCAAAGAGTACAAACCCGGACAGTTAGGTCTCTGGAGCTGGTATCATGGAGTGGAATGGAATGGGAATAATGGATTGGATTTGTTGCGGCGGCCAGGAACAGGAACTGCGGGCGATTTTGGAAACAGCGAAAAACAATGCTGGTGGTTGGGCGGGGACAACACACACACACACACACACTCTCTCTCTCTCTCTCTCTCTCTCACACACTCTCTCTCACTCAACCGCCCCCCGGATTAAAAACGTAACGATGGAGGAAGAGGCGATACGGATTACTTAGATGGACGGCGAATGAGCAACAGTAAAGCGGCTGGAGAATGATTGTCGTCTGCTTCGAAGTCGGTGTAGCGAGCCTCCACGGTCGAGGTGGATGCTGTGTGTCCTGGATGATGGGGGAAGTCTGAATGAAGGGCACGCACTACTGGGCAGCGAGCGACAGCGACAGCGACAGCGACAACAAGATTGGAGTCAGGGATTGTTTGCAACTAGAGGTAGACAGAGCGCCGTTGAAGCGAAACAGGGCCAGGATGGGGCCCAGCAAAAGGAAGAGAAATAATCTCGACTAGGCGCAATCGAGTAATAAAGGCGCGGCCGGCAGCGAAGGAGACAAAGAGAGCGGAAAACTGTGGCTGAGAAGATCCCAGCTGGTTGCGAATCTGGTGAATTTGGTGGGTATTTTTCCTTCCAGGCTACTCCGCCGGTGCTGGCTGACATTTGCTCTTATTATGGTATCGTATCAGCCAGAATTCCCAGGTTTTTTTTTTCACTTACTACTTTAGTACTATCCTTGGCCCAGATTTCTGGCGGCTGAAGAACGCAAATATCCCCAGCCCAGCGGGGACGAAGTGGAGCGAATGAGGAGCGAGCGATAGGCCAAGGGCAAGCGACGGATACTCCGTCATAATAATTAGGATTTTTCCCAACCAGTCAGAATGTTGATGTCTCTTCGGTTTGCCAGGAATAAACACGGCCAATTCTACGGACCCGTACTCAATTTTAAACTGGGCAGGGGATACGGATACAACGTGGTGAATCGGTCAACCGGAGGTGCAACAGAAGTCTCTTGGACGACGCAAGAAGTGATGTCGATGTCAGATCAATTGAATTCGCAGCTTGAGGGCAGCTCCAAGAATATACAGCAATAGCATAGTATATATCAATCATTGACTTCTACGGAGTACGCTACTGGTGATTTGTTTTTGAGCAACTGACCGTCTAACTTACGGACTATTCATGAAGAGTGCAAAGAAAAAAGGAGGGCCCCTGGTGGGAATTCGATAGAGTCCTTTTGCCTAAACCTGCTTGAAATGCTGCAAGCTTGAAGCTCGTTCGGTTTCATATTTTGCCGCTGTTGAATGGATCAATTGACCATGAGTGGCCAGCAATGGAGGCGACATCCATTCTTTCACGAACCAAACTGGATCCACGGGTGATTTTTCTGGTTGGCGGATTGAGTTAAATAAAGCGCGAAAAAAAATTAAAAAAATAAAAAAGCAGATGTACATACATGTACACAGTACGGGTGTGCCTGGATTTTGGAATGGGGAAACCAGTCAGGGCCGCAGGCTCACTGGTTCCTTGGGACGAATCAAGTCTGTACTGTTAGAGCTTCGTTCGTAAGGTTATCCCGCCTCTGACGAGTTGTGATACTCTGGACAAATCCACGCAGCGACACAATAGCATTGCACATTGCACCCGCATTTAAGAGGAACATATCACATCCCGTGGACTTCGGACCTTTTCGCCATCTTTCTACTTCTCTTCCAGGGACCTGCATTGGCTCTTCATTATTGCCATGCATAACATAACAATAATACAATAACAACTGCATATCCTCATCCAACACCGCGAGCAGGCCATGGAGCGTGCTTTGGGTTTCGTTTGGCGGGTTATCACGCTCTATCCACATCCACAATACGACCTCCCTCCCCACTCTGGGCCGCTAGTTGACAGATTTTTATTTAACCCATCTCCAGTTCTCGATTCCTTTTCAGTTATTAATAATGATTCTGAAACCATCACCACCGGATGCCGTCCGTCGGTCGAGAATATGTGAACACAAAATATGTTATCAGACAATTTTATCGTCTTGTTCTGTACTTGGGGCGAACAATGTTGTACAGCTTCATTGCAGAAGTCGCCAAGAGCGCTTTCTCGAGTTTGCTCTTGAGTTTCCAGCCTAAATTTATATCTTGAATTTGCGCATGGCCATTCCGCGTAATAATACATACAATATATTCCCCCCTTAGCTCAAGCATGAAACGTGCTTGCAACAGGGATGTTATTCGGCAGAACCTAAAAATATTAGGGGATTCGTGATACGAACTTGGCAGGCTACCTACTGGACTGGTTAGGCTCTTGAGGTGGTTTGTGTCAGGGGATTTTTCGAGCAGCTGAACTCATCATGCATCCTTAACGCGACATCCATTGGACGATCTGTTTGAGGAATCAACATTTGCCTGTAGCATATAACCACATCAGGTCACTTTCGAGTTCGGACACCCTGTTGAAAGTTACTAGACGGATCGAGGCTACATCCCTCGAATTTTCTGTTTGCCAAAGTGCTGGCGGGTCCGTATGGAGATAAATAAGCGCTCCTCCGCTTCCCTGAAAGAACGGAAGGGTGTTTGAGCTGTAGATCCATCGGAAATGATGCAGACCAGCGGTTAAGCGGTCAACAGATCGAACGAACAGGCAATGCAACGTGAGGGGTAAATGTCCTTTATTTCTCTACTTTGCAGAGAACACAGAGATCATGCAGGATATCTGTCAAATTGTTATGGAGCCGTTCAACAGTCCAAGGACATACCCTGGGGCCCTTTTACTCCCACATGCTCATTGGGAGTCACCTTATTTTCTCGATCCTAAACTTCTATTAGCCGACCTCTCTCTTTCGGTTCGGAATAGATAATGCGCTGCGCGATACCCAAACACGTGTTCGTTGAGACTCGCCAGAGTCATCTCGCATGGGAACGCATTACTACCGGCAGGCGCCTCGCGGGTGCATACCCAACCAACCGAGAAAATTGACGCGTACCTGCATGGCACGGTCAAAACCACTTCGAGAGATATTTGATGATGCAGGCGGGGGAGAGCTTTGTCCCGAGAGACTGTTCGGCAGGCTCTGCAGGCTGCTCCACGACATACATACCTATGGCCATAGGCATGTGAATATTTGCTGGATGGCGGATAATTTCAATGTGGAGTCTTTGTCCATCAAAACACTGGGCTAGGGCACTACTCTACTCCCGGAAGCCTTGCACGTATCGGACCCTAGCTCCACGAGAATGCCATGGCTCTCGGTGTGGTAATTGTACGGCATGTATCTGTGCAGGCCTGGCTGAATTTCGGAAGTGTATATTATTTCCATAAGCTATTCTCCCCGAAATATTAGCACTGAGCTTAAATATAACACTCCTCACTACCTTTGCATTCACCAAGGAATTCCCGGGCTACCAGTATGACTAACCAGCGGGTCGTTTGCAAGGTTGATATTCTATCTCTTTTCAACCATGACGGTGTCATGCTACCATACAGTTAGTCTATGTGCCGCAGCCAAAAAGTCTACCTATGTCCAAGGACGCGACGATCTCAATGGTCCCAAGGATGGGCATAATAGAAGAGAATAATGTATTCTACTTCTAATACTTCGAAACGAACGAATCTCCTATATTATTCTTCCAACATTGGAGAAGATGTGAATTCATGCTGTGAAGTATTCATCTTGCTCGGCGGTCACTGTCCATGCCGAGTATACATCTGTCAGGAAAAAGAGGTTATACACTACTGAACGCCACCAACATCGTATTACTACAATATTTCTCATCATCATCAGCTTACTACAACGCTCGTCTAATACTCACTTATGCTAGCTCTCTTGGCTCGCACATATATTTTACTATAAATAGCTCTATCTTTTGTATGAAATAGATATATTAGATAGTGTATGGATAATATAATAAGCAGATCTTGATACACATAAGATTCATATGTCTCCAACATATTCATGTGTGACACCCATTTCAACAGTTATGAGCCTGGTAAGCAGCATCTGAAGAGAAGCGCGATACACTGATCCCAATCCTCATTTGAACTGATAACTATCATTTGAACTGAGATGATTGATCCTCATTCATATACAGTTCGAATTACTTGACTGTTATATCATACCTGATTCTCAGTAAGCAGCATCTGAAGAGAAGTATGATACACTGATTCTAATTCTCTTTTGAACTGATAAACTATCATTCAAACTGAGATGATTGATCACTGATCTCAATCCTCATTTAAACTGATAACTATCATTTGAACTGAGAAGATAGATTCTGACATGTATATATTCTGAAATACTTAACTGTTATACACTGAATTCTGATTATATTCTCAAATACTTGAACTGATTTCTCAATTCATTCAATATAACTGATATGATAGATAAGATAATGTCTAGTACAATAGTTTATCTTAGTCTTTCTGAAGATTGAAAACTTTAATACAAGCATATACTAGAATATGCAAAGAATAAGAAGATATCAGACTTTATCAATCTTGATAAACCTGATATCTTCTCTGAACTAGAAGAATCTCTGAAACCTGAGTATTCAGAAGAAGTCACTGCAGAGGTCAAGATAGTATATAATATTAAGATCACTGTGTGAAAAATCAAATATATGAAATATGAGAAATTGAATGAAGATATGATAAAGATACAAGATTAATATATAAAGAACAGTGAATATCACAGAACTATAACATATATGCAATGAGAATGATAATGTAAAGAAGATTATTCATTTATTAAGAAATTGTCTCTCACTCATAACTACAGACTATTAAGAGAATATAAGAACCTGATATCACAATATCTGTAAAGCACTGAAAAACAGAAGTATAGAGAAGTGATTAAATGACTGATCTCTTATTAAAGATAATATCAAAGAGACAGATATAGCTGAACAGTTTAACTGAAAGAAAGATTTCTTAAATATGAATCTAGCTATTAATGTAGATTATATACAAGTATAAGCTAAGAATATCTGATATGATAAAGATGTTATATCTTTAATAGAGTTAGTTAAGAACTTTAAAAAACAGTATAGAGAAATGAGTATTCTTAAAGAAGATAAATCTATGAACTTTACTACTCTTAATAAAAGATTAGTAACATTCAGAAACTGTATCTATAAAGTCTGTTATTAATACACTCAGTACTACTATCTTAATTTCTTAAGAAAGTTATCTGAATGAGAGGAAAATAGAGAGAAGAGAACTCAGATTAATCAAGCTCTTAAGAATCAAGAATTGAAGAGATGTATTAATTATGTAATATCTAGAGATTCATTTATAAATATGAATATAATAGATCAAGCAGTTCTAGAAGAAATAATTCTGAAGTAATCAGATTCTCAATTTATTGATTATTAATCTATTAATTATCAATCTATCAATCTTTAATTAATTAATTATTAATCTATTAATCAGCAAATCTGAAAAATATTAATAAACTCTTTAAATTCTCACTTTTGATACTAGTGTGAATAGACTGACCGCCGGGACTATGAATTTCACATTTAATCTCATTTAATGTGGTCTCATACATTTCTTGATATGAATCCCGCTGGGACTAGTCATTAAAAAAACATGCAAAGTAACTATATATCAGATCTTAAAATGAAATCATGACTTGAAAAAAATGAGAAAGTGATCTCATTTAATCTCATTTAGTCTCATTCTTAGCATAAAGTTACTATTTTTAGACATTTTAAGGTTTTTTTTAGACTATTTTTAATTTTTTAAAAAGTAACACTTTTTGATAACACTCAAATGAGATTTAAAGTCATTTAAAGTAATAAAAATAATTTAAATTGAGAAGTGAAAATCATAATCTTATTTGAAAAATATGTTAAGAGTAGATAGTAAGTCTTACTGAGACAGTATAAGACTACTATCTAATGTTAAAACTGTGTAATGAGATCAGTCAAATTGATAATAAGACTATTAAAAAATCTGGTTCTAGTCTCAGACACAGTCACACAGTCAGTCTAGATATGAAACAGTATATATATAATAATTAAACATATTTTCTATTCTTTATATCTGTGAATAAGAATGTGAAAGTCTATACAGATAATTTTAGTACTAAAGTCAAAGATTATAAAACTGTTAGAATAATTATAATAAATGAAGCAGAAAAGTAGTTCAGTGTCAATCTCATTAACACAGCTTACATCTGAAATTTTCATACAAATATTATTACATGAAAATCATGTTTTCATATAGAAGACATCTATTATAATGAAAAAGACTTCAGATTATAAAAATGTATAGATAATATAATCTTTATACACATTAAAGTATTTAAGAGGTTGCTAGTTACAGAATATAATAGTGAAACAGCTGTTTTCTCAACTATCTCAGAAAAATTCATTACTGAAGCTGATACTGTGATTCGGAAGAATGTTCAACTGCCGGATAATAACGCGGCCGCTTCTGAACTTGCTTACGAATGTAAAGAGGCCATAGCAGCCATCAATTAATTTAGTGTACAGTATATAAGAAGTCAGTGTATGTCTGTAATCATACACTAACTCAAGCAATCTTTGAATCACATCTGATAGCATGTCTAAAAATCAGTGAGAAGTATAGACTTTTGCAGAGCATAATAATTTCATCTACAAAGTAATTCATAGTTATCATGTCAGTGTGATTCTGAAAACATTTCAAAAGATAGTATATAAAGAGTAGTGAGTAGAAGAGTATCTAATCAATACTGCTTCACTTATTAAAGAAAAACTTCACACTCAGATGAATGCTATGTATGAGATGTAAATAGATAAGATGTGAGAAAGAGAATATAAGCAGTGAATCAGATTCAAAGAAGTTCACTCTCTACTTAAAAGAAGAATAAAAAGAGAGAGTGATTATTACTGAAGTTATATAATAATAATAGATAGTGATATAATACTATAGTAATATAACAATATAGTAATATGATAATAGATATTATACAATTAACAAGAAATCACTGAAATAAACATCTTCTTTAGTTAATATGAATATTCTTCTCTGCTATCTGAACTGAAAGATATACAGAATCTCTCAGAGAGTTTACTCAAAGCAGTAAGAAAAGTAGCTAAAATCACTGAACTGAAATCAAAGCTCTGTATATGTACAAGAATTCTAAATGAAATTGAGATCTTGTATACACAGTAACAGATCAAGAGAGAAGCTAAACAACAATTGATATTTACTGTGAATTAAGCATTCACTATAAAGAGGTTTGCTGATGCAATTATCATTATTAATAAGAATAGAGAAAATCAGATCTTAGATCTGCAGCAGAAGATCAAATATTTATATAGATAGATAATTATACTAAATCTGAAGATCTTATCACAATTATTCACAATCTCTTTAAAAGTATATATATTATCAGAGACTGCTGCATAGAATGAGAATCTGAACATAAGATATATCAAGCTGAGAGATCTGTTAGAGTTATTAAGCTTTAATAATGACTGAAAAAATAATGCTGTAATCAGCTGACTAAGTCAGATACAATTATATTGTCAAATTGAATATGAACTTATAGATAAATAGTTAATAGAATTTTAATAAGTCTTAAGATCTGCTGTGTTTCTATATAAAAAAGTAAAGTCATTGTGAATAACTGATAAAAAGATGAATCTCACAGATTCAGAATAATATTCATTTTTATAAATATGAAATGAGTTTTTCAAATGAATCTTGTATAACTTTGAGAAAGTGAATATATAAGATAAGCATTATAAATACTTTACTGAGTGTAGATAAGTAAGTAATCTTATATTATACTTTACACACTTCAGCTTACACTATCTCACATTGAATGAAGAGCTTTTAATATCTTTCTATTTACAGATCTTCATTCATAATCTTACATCTGAGTTAAGAGTAGAATAAAAATGCTTAATCTCATAATCAGATACAGTGAAAAAAGTATATAATATTCTCATTATATAAGAATAAGTGAGTCAATTATAATAGAAAATACTACAATTGAGTATATCTTAACAGAGAATGAATAATCAAACTTCTATAATATAAGTCATACATCTGAATATAATGAATCTAGATCTGAATATCATTACTAAAGTACTGAATTCTCTGAAAAAGAGATTCTCTGAGTAAAAATCTTGATATTATGAGCATCAAGCTTGCTTCAACTGTGAAAGTCAGAATCATAATACAAAGAATTATACACAGCATGCACAGTTAAGAGAAGTAAGAAAGTTAAAAAACTAGCAGAATCAGTGAGCTCAGAGACACTCACTGATATTTTATAAAAAGTCTTCAAAGTGAAAGAGATTTCTGTATTAAATGACTCTCTGAATCCTGCAAATACTAAGAGAAAGCAGACTCTTAAATAAGGTGTAGATGAGAATGATGAAGCAGATACTTATCTTAATATCTTAAGATCTGAAATGTTAATATATAAAGAGTACTTGAAAAAGAATTGAGAGATAACTGCAAAAGTATTAACAGATATAAAAGCTTTTACATAATATATTAATAATTATATAATTTGAAGATTAAAAGAAGTTCATTAAGTGAAGAATCTCTGATATATAAGATTATCTGATAACTGATATTTAGTATTATCTGTAAGAGTAAGAGTTCTCTTACACTTCAAAGAATAATCTTACTATATTTAAGTGTGAGAGCTGCAGAATGTGAAATACAATCTTATTCTCAGACTTAATTAATTTCAAAGATTCAATTCACAGATTCAATGATATATATACTATATACAGTTAACTGATAAGAAGAAAACAGTTTATATAATTCTATTAACTGATATGAGAAGAACATTTCATATCTCTGATATAGAAGAATTAAATCTGCTTATATATTAATAAGTAAAGAAAATAATTTATAAAACCTTATTTAAAAGCATTCTGTATATTATACAGAATCTGAAAGAAGAGAAAATCAAGATAAAGAATATATAAGAGAATAAGTGTATAAAGAAGCTTCTGAAGAAGTATGAGAAGATCTTCTGAACAGATCTTTTATCAGAAATACTGCTAAAATGAGGATTTATACATGAGATTAACACAGAGAATGTAAAATCAGTCAATCAGAATGTATACTCTCTGTTATAAACACATGTTAAAGAATAGAAGTATCAGATCACAGATCTTCTAGAATGTGATGACCCGGTGATGTAGTAGTTAACTACGCTATCATGAAGCCTCAATTAGCGGCCTTCCCTCTGGGGAATGAATGTCAAGAGAGAGCAGATTTGAACTCTGCAAGAGTCATCTTAATCACAGCTTTCACTGTTAAGTTATAAAACAGTATCAGAAGCCTCTGAATGCACTATAGTGAATTATTGTCAAGCTTAAGATGTTTATCTCAGAGATTTCTGAGTGCTAATTCTCACTGATCTTAGAATTAACAGCTCTCTGAGTGCTTCAAGTTAGATCAGTACTAAAGTGATTGAGATCTAGAATGTCTGCAGCATAGTGAATTATCATCAAGCTTAACTAGTCAGATCTTATTTCTCTCACTCTAGACACTTACTTCTGAGAAATAAGATTTAAAAACTATCTGATTAGAACACTCTGAGTCTAGCAAGAATCTAGATGAGACAAGATCTAGATGCTCTTAATAGATG